ATTGGTAGGAGTTTTTCATGTCTGCGGCAAACTGGCTGGCTAACATTTGGCTGTGGGTTTTCACAGGCAGGCAGAGCGCATCTTGTCGAAGGTGGTCAATTGCTGTCATTCTTGTGCACCCTGAGGTGGTTCTCAGTGCGTCTTTCTGTCTTACTTCTTCCAGTGGGTTTCGGCGAGGTTTGAAGCCCAGACTGATGCGGCTTAGTTGAAGACGGAGCGGGTTATCGCTTTGTACACAATTGTGACTTTCTTTTTCTTGAGTCCCTGTTTTCCGGATTTGATGGCCTGGAGCGCGTTGTTTCTGTTGCTTGCTGTGTTGTTACGGATTTTTGCGCGTTCTCCGAAGGTTATTGAGTGGTCTAGTGTAACGCCAAGTACCTTGATATTGTGCTCGGTTGGTATTCAGTTCAGTCTTCCATTCTGCGATCTAGGTGTCGCAGAGCATGGCTGCGCACTTAGTGGTGGAGACAAAGAGCTGTTTGGACTTCAGGTAGGGGGAGAGTTTGTCGAAATAAGGGTTGATCATTGTTGCGGCCGTAGATATAATAGTGTTTTGGCAAAATATGGTGAAGTCATCTGCATGGAGAATGATTTCAACGCCTGCTGCGGAATGTCTTGGAGGTACCAGGGAAAGAGAATGGGAGATAGGACACTCACTTGTGGTACTCCTGTCTTGAGCACTACATACGTCGAGAAGTCTCCTTCGTAGCTGGTTCGCTGTTCTCTGCATCTGAGGTGGCAGGCTAGCCATTTCTTGAGGGTGGTGTTAAGCCGGGAATTTACGATCATGTTGATTAATTCATCGAAGTTAACGGTGTAAAACGCCCGTTTAGGGCGGATGGCAACGGCTAAGGTGCGCAGGGCTGGTCTCTTGCAGTTGAAGCCCGTGAAGGTTTTCTCGGTCAGGGAACACACGGCAGTGACGGTTGAGTGCCCCTTCCTGAAACCGTGTTGTTGCTTTGGCAGGTAAGTCGCTGCTTGAAGTTGGGGTAGAATGATCCATGGCAATGGATAAGCTTTGCCACATAGGAGCAGGTGTTCCACCCGAAGTGTTTCAGATGAATGGACGCCGTGCCATCGGGGGCAGCTGCTTTAGAGTTGGACAGCTGCATTAGAATTGGACATCTTCTTTATCGCCTTCAGAACATCTTCGGTGGTGACGGAGAAAAAGTCTTCCAGCTGGTCAGGAGCGCAATGTCATCAGTGGCTGATGTTATATCAGGCGAGGACGGCCTAGTATCGCTGAAGGAAGCCTCGTCGGACACTTTGCGGTGATGACTACCAGGTTGCTGAGAGAAAACACCTGAGATTTCGTTGCCTCTAGTGTTTGGTTCCATTGGAGAGTGCCATAATTCATTGTGCGCGTTGCCGTCTACCATTTCTAGCGCTGTGTGGTCCGTGGTCAGATTGGTTATACTGTCGAAATTGTGCTCGGGTTCTTCTAGATGTATGTAGCAGTTGACAAGCATCAAAGTCTCGTGGCCAACGTACAAGTCGACTGCAAGCAGCTCGGTGTTGCCAGTCTGACTGACCGGAACTTTGCGAAAATTGACATAGTTGTCGATTATAGTAGCTAATCCCCCTCCGTTTCTCGAATGATCTCTGCGGATGATGGAGTAACAGTTTCTCTTCGGCCAGGGGGCTTTTGGGTTCTTGGATCAGAGCTGCCATAAGTTTGTTGCTGTGGAGAAGCAGGGCGAGCTCTGTGGTTTTGCTCCTGAGGCCGTTAATATTCAGTTGGAGGAGCGTGAGCTCGTTCTAGGGGGCTGTCTTGGTTGTGGGGTTCGCTTCCGGTTGGACTTTGCAGGTGGAGCAGTACCAGTAGATCCGCCTGACTGTGTAGAGGTCCACGTTCTCACACTTGAAATAGCACCATTTCTTGCAAGTAGTGCATTGTAGACAAGAGTATTTGCAATTTGTTCTACAAATAATACAGGGAACTTCGGACCCGGATTCTGTTCAACGCCTGCGATGAGGAGGTGTGCCCTAATGACGCTTCTGGGAACTCGTAGGAAGGCGACCTTTGAGTGCCACGACAATTACCATGCGGGTGTGAGGGAAAGTTGTTCTACCTCTTGGCACATCGTAGATGTGGTGTTGGCTCGGCGAAGACGAGGGAAGATTTGTTTTTAAAAAAAAATAACCACGACTATTGTCTTCACTTGCAATACAAAGAACTGAACCACTGCGCTCCTTGGCAGTTAGAAACAATCACTTACATTTACCTGTGCGCTATCGGCACAACAAAACAAGGATAGCCGATTGCTGTGCAAGTAGAACAGAACGTTACGACCATATTTTCAGAAAGAACTTTTTCGAAAAAGTGCTTTTTGTGGGTCGTACGATGATACATTTATATTAACGCGTAGAAGTTTACTGAATTAGGCCTAAGCGAATCCAATGATTTTCATAGAGATAAATAACAATTTTTCCGAAAAAAATCAATTGTTTGCAATAAAAATTTTAAATATTTTTTTAAAGAAAGTTTTTGCCAGAGGAGAGCTAAATGAAGATTTTTAAACTAGTTTTCTTTTAGCTAAATCTAAATTTTTAGCCTGAGTTTCTAGTTTTCATATATGACAAACGTTACTCGGTCGCTTTACTCGCTCGAAAATAGACGAAAAAACAAAAATTTCAATCCGGTTTTTCTCGACACTGGGGAAATTTATAAATGTCGTTTGAATCAGGACTGAAAGGCCTTTAAAATGATATATCACTCAACCCAGTCTGATGATTATTTATGTTACCTAATTTTGAGTGAAAATGAAAAAACAACTGAAGCACACCCGAATACCAAGTTCCTACTCATTTTCAATGGTCGGAACAATCGTCAGAACTTTTACTACATTTTTTACACTTAATCAAAAGCAAAACTGCCAAGCCTTTTGATGCTAAAATTTGCCTGAATTAAAGTCATTTGCCAGAAACTCATTGCCTGAATTAAAGTTTGTTCGAGTAATTAACGAAACAGTCAGGATAGAGCTGATAAAGCGTGAATAACCTTGATTATCAGAAAACATAGCCAGCAGACATTTCGAAGAGAGTCAATAAACGAGTCTCAACGTTTGAACTTGAAAAAAATAGCCTGAAGGCTCTTTGAATTTCTTAAACAACCTTAGATTGAATTTTTTTTGATAAAATAAAACCAATTTCAGAAAAGTGGCTCAATATGTATTTTTTTTTAAATTTTGCTGGGATACTTGAAAATTGAAACTTACTTTCCAAACTAGAAGTCGATCACATTTTTGTGCACTTTTTATTGCTGTTCGATAGTGGAGTTTGTCCGTCTTTTATCAAAGGAAATGAACTGAACTTGAAAGAAATGAACCAAAAACTACCAACCCGAAAAATCAAATTTCAGCATGAACAAATCTTAACTTTTACCTAAAAAAAATTAGAAAAATTGCCATGACCTATAAAAGTTTTCACGTTCATGACTCTTAATGACAGTAACTCTTGAAGATGTTTTTAGTTGTTGTAATGTAGGAGCTCAGAGCCTATCAGTTTCGATCGCGACTTTTTTTTGGGTCGGAACAGAGTTTCTGGAGCTCGTTTGGCGAGGCAGGCTAGCACGTGTACCACTGACTCTCTTTCTTTCTTACAGAATCGACAAATGTCAGTTTCGGATGCGTTGATTTAATTTTTTTTTTTTTTTACTACAAACACGAACACAAAGTTCCTCCACATTTTAAATGGTCGGAACAAAAAACAAGGACAACGATAGCTGCCAGTAGGATTTCCAGTACTATGAAATAGAGTGCAATCAAAAGAAGCTTTTAAGACATAATACAGACACAAAAAGAAACGTAAAAAAAGATAGTTGTGAAAGTGTTAAATATCTCAAGCCCCAAAAAAATCAGCTTTCGAGCATCATCTTTGCACAGAGGCGAAGCTGAGCTTCGCACCATTTGCGATACAAAACAAGAAAGCCGCTAAGTTGAAAAAAATTGCAATTATTAGATCTAACGATAAAGCTAGTTTTGAAATAAAAACGAGCCCGGACAATAGAATGTGAAACTAGCATCGAAAGAAAAGTTATCAAGCGGTAACAAAGCCAGAAATACCTTAGCAGACACCCTTTAGGCCAATTTTTTTTTGAAAAAAAAATATCTACACCCTAAAACAAACACACACGCACACAAACACAAGCTTTAATCAAGCGTCAAATGAAAGAATATGCGTCCACTATGCCGATATAATATTGGCCGAAGACTTTTAAGTCGAAAAAAAGGAAAACAAAAAACAAAGCCTAACTAATAAGTCTAATAAAAAGTCCCCCTCACCCTCAAAACACACACAGCTTGTGAAATGACGCAATATGAGGGGACTAAGCTGCGGTTAAATAGGCCGAAACCTATCAGGAGGAAAAAAAAGGAAAAACACAAAAAATTCAGAAATTTTTTAGACTAATAAGAATTTATTAGGTCCCTCACCCTCAAACCACAGACACGCACGCTCAATTTTTTTCACCCATCGAAAGGCGCAATATGCGTCTATTAAACCGATATAATATAAAGCGAAACTTATCAAGCCGAAAGAAAAGAAAAAACAAAAACGCCGAAAAAAATTGTTGTCAAAAACTTGAACTATAATTTCTATTAATATTTTTTAGCATTTTGTGCTAGCCAGAATTGAGCATAAAAATTACATTTCCCTTGAAACTACTCAAAATAGGCCTCTAAGCTGATATAAAAAAGCCGAATAAATGACACACAAAAAATAAAATTTTAACAAATCGAGTTGAAAAAATCACAACAGAAAAAGCAAATCTTGAAAGGGACGGATATTTACTCAACCAGCTTAATATTTGCAACCCAGAAAAGTAGGATTTGAAAAGAGGAGGTGAAGGAGTCCAGAAGTTAGTCCTATGGACAAAGTTGTTCACGGATAAAAAAAAGTCTAGTATCCGCTTGCAATACCCGTGCTTATCGCAAGGGTAATTACACATAAAAAAATTTCTAGAATCTTTCATGATAGACGTTCTTTGACGCTTCGACATGGAGAAGCAACTTCTAAAACCAAGTTAAAACTGCGAAAAGTTCAATTTTACTGCATATATCTAGAATAAAAGTTCTTCTGTAATGAAACAACTATGTTGAGATAGACAAAGAGTCAAATAAAGAGTTTCATAGCGAGAGTTATTTATAACCAGTTTTCCTCTGATCCAGACTCAATCTTCCTGCGTTCAGGATTGCACTCACTTGCAAAATTGTAGACGCAGTAGGTAGCAGGTGCTCGAAATGGCAGGCGACACACTTTGGAACCGTCGTTCACCTAATTACAACCCAAGGCTAGTTCATGATTTTAAAGCAAATGATTTGATACCTCGAGATTAAAAAGTTACTTCTATAATTTCGTAGAATATCACAATGAGGTACTTATTTCAAACAAGAGATTCAAACAAAAAAAACTTATAACACTTAAAAACATAAGTACTCGAATGATTTTCGTAAAAAGAAGCGCTGGTTGATTTTCATACAGCCGCTCACAGTAGTATGCCTAGCAGCTACTTCTTTGGAACTTTTAAGTGACCTTTTTAAAAGCTTAATGGCGGTTCTTTGAAGTATTACCTATCTCTTATGCGGGTAGGAGGAATCTCTCAAACATCTGATAGCCATAGCCAGACTGGCCAGTATAAGATCCCTCCGAGTCATCATGTAGAGGGGATTGACATACTAGAATCCTCACCCGATCACATATTAGCCTCTATAATCCTAAAACACATTGAACAATTTAACCACATTTGACACAACTTGATCTGAGTTTTCATGAAAATGCAAATAATGATTTACTAACTTTTTTCAACTTTCGAACTTAGGAGAAAAAAAATCGACTTTAAGCTCTTTCAAATTCGAAATCTTTCATGATCGACACTTTTTTTGATAAAACTAACCTTGATAATTAAAGAGTATAATTTGCTTTCAATTTAACCAAATAAATTTGAACTGAATTTTGAAATAAAACTCAAACCACTAAAACTTTAATTTGAGCGTAAACAATCATAGGACTTTTTCCTGAAAAAAGGAAGAAACAAATTGACATTTCGAAAGATGACAAAATTATGCTAAAAAAATTAATTAATTTACAAACACAGTCACATCTATGGCTTAAACATCGGTTCCTATTACTTATTCTTCCTAAATGATCAAGTCTCAAATTATGAAAATAAGAAGTAAAATGGTCAAATCTGATTGGTCAAAAGTTTTTAAAAAAATGGTAGATGATTTGATTTTTTCAGACAAAATCAACCAAAAAAGAAGCTTTAAATGCAGGTTTTCCCGTGGTGACTTTAGAAAAAATCGGGTTGACATTAGACAAAAAAATCGGATCAAAAGTTGATTAGAATTTCTCGCAGAATTAATATGGTACGTTTTTTTTTGCAAAATTCGGGCTCAAAGGTTACTCCAAACAAGGGGTCATTTTTTGCTACTTTAGTCGATCAAAAGTGCATCAAACACAACCATGTCAATCGCTGAAAAAACAATATCACAGTGCGCCTCTCATTTAGCCCAACTAAGTTTGGAAGGATATAATCTAAGTTTGGAAGGATAAAACTTTTGTTGATTACTATAAAATGTCATTTATACTATATGACAAAATCAACCAAAAAATCAAGTTTTTATTTCAAAACATTTTTGAAACATTTTGCGCACAATTTATGCTCTCGTTTGATTTTATTGAAATACAAATAGAGTCACAATAATGAATTTTTCAGCGGTTACCCCGGAAAATTTGATGTAATTTTTGATTGACTAAAAAGAGCAAAAATGATCCATTTTACAGGTTAAACGTTTGAGCCCGAATATCGCCAAATAAATTGCATTATTAATATTCTGGAAAAAATCTACGCAGATTTTAAACTGTTCTTATTTTGTTAATTATCGACCTAATTTAAGAAAGGTGAGCTGACAGTTTTCATATATATTAGTTTTGTCCGGATAAGTTAAATCAGCTTTGTAGTTTGGTGAGTGGCAATTTAGTGAATGGTGCGATTTCAAATTAGTTAACGCGGACCAAGTATAAAGTTCCAAGCAAGGATAGCCGGTTGCTGTGCAAATAGCAAGGAATGTTCCGACCATATGCAGTATTAGTAGTTTAGGCTTTGAATCAAGTGATCCAGGGCTCGCGTCCGTCACATCACAGCTGAGTTAACTTTTGAATTGGTGTAGCATGTCCGCAACTTCACATGAAAATCCACGAAGATGTATACGCATTCGAGTAGCCTGTGGTAAAGTACTTCCAGCATAACTTTAACGGAGATTTACTGATTTCGCTTAGTGATAGTTGGTGTGCTTTGTGCTTATGATTATAAGATTGCTCAATCATAGCCCGAAGTTTTTTTCTGCCTTTTTGTGCGCGTTTCTGGCGGTATATACATTCTTGTTATATAGAGTTAGTCGCAAGGGTTGTTTCTATTTTTGCTCTTTTTGATAGATCAATATTTAAATTTCCTTATAAATTTTGCTCCCATTGTTCAAGACCCAGTTGGCTGAAGTTTTTCTAGTTAGCTGTTTCATTTCTGTTTTGTTGCAGGCTAGACCTGGGACGCGTAGCTTATCAACGGTACAATATAGCTCGCGCATGCATTCGTTTTTGTCATGATGTAAGACTCGGTAGAGATGATGCGCTACAGGAAGTAGTACGTTTTCAGGCTTTGGTGCATCGCTTTTCACAGTTTGCTTTCCAAGAGTTTGGCCGATATTATCCTACACAAGTCCTTCTAATCGTTCTTCATATCAAATTTTTTGCAATCGAGCTTAAGTTTATGTTCATTATCCTTTTTTTTTTGATTGGTTACACCTAGTATTCTTGCTAATATAAATTGATTTTGTTTTCGTTGCACCGTTTTTATTTTATCTATTTCGACTTGAAGGTTTGCCGGATCGGTTGTTACAAGTTTATAGTCATCAGCGTAGCCAAAGGGTTCACACTGTTTTACTTGTTGGGGAAGGTCATTGATACAAATAATGAAAAGTAGAGGTCCAAGTAGCAATCCGTGGGATACACAACTTGAGACTTCGTTGGTTTAAGAGCAGATTTCATATACTTAAACAAATTGACTTCTATTTGTCAGCTGATTTGAGAGTCTTTTCAAAAAAATCGGTTCCGCCGACTTTATTGATGAGTACATTATGAGAGAAACTATCGACTGCTTTCTTGAAACCTTAAGTTTAACACGAGTAGTTCGTTCTCGTTGCCGTCGTAATATTTATAAAGTTGGTTACAAAATACAAGCATTTGAGTTATTACCGATCGCTTTTTCCTAAAACCGAGTTGCGAGTAGTGAAAGTGCAGACTGTTTTTTAACAATTTTGTTTAGTTCGTCATATATAACCGTTTCTAGCTTTTTGAGATGTTACAGAGTAAGCTGGTTGGTCTGCATTGCTGTGTCAGCTTTGTCATCATCTTCAAAAATCGGCACGAAGTCACAGGTTTTTTAATAGATTGAGAACTGGCCTTTTGATAAAGCAGTTTTGAAATAATTAGGAGCGACTTCGACAACGTTGGGAATTTTATTCCGGATAAAACTTCCTATGTTATCGTGACCTTCGTTGTTCGGTTTTTGAAATGCATCGTTTTTGGAAATCAGTCAATTATATGTTTTGATCTTTTATATGTTTGGAAGTCAGAAAACTTCCTTCCTTGGAAGATTATTTCATCAAATTCTGTTTGATCTTCTACGAGGGTTTTATGTACTTCGTTTCCATTTTCTTGATCTTTATTAGTTTTGCCAGGTCTGTTTTTGTTGATACTTGTCGCTTGAGAGTTGCTGGTTTTTTTCATAAGGTGAGAAGTCTTGCATTTTACCCACAGAGGCAATTTTGATTTGTGAGATGTGGTTTTGGGCACATTATATTTTATTATCTTTTCGAGTTATTTATACCACTATCTCACTACTTATCTCCGTTGCTGTAGCAGTATGGTTGAAATTGATTTCCTTCAATAAAATACAATGAATGTTTTTCAATAAACGCATGCTTTTGTCTCATAAAAACGAAAAAAAAAGTTCTTCAAATTAATTAGTTTTTTTAAATTAGTGTCGTTTTTTATGCGTGGTGTAATAAGAAAAACTATACACACGCGTGAAAAATACGTAAATTAGGCATAATCGACAAGTTGTCTTCAAAAAAGCATGAAAAACAAAAAACATATTTTAGAATTTCTTTTTTCTCGGAAAAGCCGAAGAAACCTTTCAAAATTAGTTTTCGTTTCAAAAAATCGTTTTTTCGAGCCTAAATGACCAGTTTAACAAGTTATAATCTCTTTATTCGGTCGAAACTATAGACGGAAAATCGAAAAATTTCAAACCGGTTTTTCTCGAAATTGCGAAACTTTTTACATGTCGTTCCAATCACTGAAAGGGCTTTAATATGTTATATCACTCAACCCAGTCCGATGATTATTTGTGGTGCCTGATTTTGCGTGGAAAAAACCAAAACACCAGAATACAAAGTTCCTCCCCAATTTTCAAATACTTGTCGCTTGAGAGTTGCTGGTTTTTTTCATAAGGTGAGAAGTCTTGCATTTTACCCACAGAGGCAATTTTGATTTGTGAGATGTGGTTTTGTAATAGACGGAAATTATATAATTAATTTCTATACTATTTTCAAATGATCGAAACAAAAAAACATGCTATTTGATTGAACAAATGGTAAATGTTTTCTTTCACATCGCTTGCAAATCGCAAGCGTAAAAACCTGAAGTATTTACTGGCAAGCTTACGTGAAAAACTTGAAATAAAATATTATAATTAGCAGATTACGCAATTGAACGGCATCCAAGATGACATTTCCTTCATTTTTATATCACACGATAAATTTATCTCCTTAATAAATTACCCAGTGCTCCATTTTACCAAGCTACCGCAAAGAGAGTTTTCAAGAGAAGAGTTTTATTGCGACGTCCTAAATCTAAGAAATCGAGAGATCAAGTTGTTCAATTTTCATGTTCAATTAATCTAAATCGTAAAAAGTAATGATTCAAACAACTTCAAATTGTGATCTGACATTTTACTTCGCAATATCAGCAAGAATAACACGATTGAGAAGTAAAAATCAGGCTCCATAAGCACAATTTTGGATCATCACTGCCTTCATTTGTCACGTAAAAAATTGGGAGTTTTCTTTTGTTTGCGGGGGGGGGGTAGTACAAAACAAAATTCATTTTTTAATGGAAAAAGAAACAATCAAAAGACTTTTATTTAACTCACAAAAAAAACAGTAAGACTGATTCAAACCAAAATAACTTAGCTCATATCGCATATCATGGACATTGTACTTTAATTGAGCTGATTTATTTGTTGGGATGCTTAGTGTTAGTTTGTTCGATGTCCCGTTGATATAAATAAAAATTGGGATTCCGAAGTTTCATTCAAGATTTAAGCCACTCGGTATTGATGTTAGAATTAACCTGAAATATCAATTCCAACAATAACATGCATCATACTATGAACTTTAATTTAAATCACGCCACTAACCAATATTAACATTATGCAACTTATCAAAGTTCAATAATTTTACTATGAAGTTGAGGGTCAAGGTCCATCAATAATACAATTTACTATAAATAAACAAGCGACAAGTACATTTTCTCGACTTGGCCCGATGAGCTAGTGGGGATGTAACCTTCAGAGGCCTTCCTTTGTCCTGCATAGCCCAGTTAAACCAGTTGACGTGGTAAGAGTTGAGGTAGTGGCTGATGTCACTTCATATACCAGCCCAAGCCTACAGAATCAAATGAACTTCAGCTTTTCAAATTAGAAGCTACGCATATTAGTATTTTGTAAACGGCTTCTAGTCACTTCAGCAATTACCCATAGAAAAGTTAGAAAAAAAACTCTGTAATTACTTGGGTTCTAACCAGAAAAGTATCTAGTTGAAACTTTGGGTGACTGAAACAGGAGTTATGGTATCCGAATTCTCTCATCTGCTCCATACTCTGTCTCTGTTTTGCTCCCGCACAGATCGAATCAAATCCCTTGAGTACTTCCACTAACAGCAATATTTATTTCTATTTGGCAACGTGGCTAGAACCTCGAGCTGTGTGAAACCAAGAACTAGTAGCATAACGTCCCATCCATATTCCAGAGCCTGAAAACGCTCACGGTTGATTAAAAAACAAAATGCCATTCCTCAATAATGCGCCATGGTTTTACTTCTCAACCGCGTTAACATTTAATATAATCAGAAGGTCATAGTAACCGAGGTGACAGTCAGGAGTCCCTTCATCGCATATTCAAGGCAAAATCCTTGAAATTCTCTGCTTTAAAAGATGCCTGCCCTGTGATCTTCAAAACATACGCTTAGGTTCTTACAAAGCTTGCTCAATAAACTTTCAATGCTACGGCCGGCCGCGCCCTGAACACCGAACGATAGCGGTTAAAATTGCGGATATCCATCATCTAAAACCAATCCTAAAACCATCATCTAAAACCAATTTTATTGTCAACACGCTTAAATTCTAAGAAATGAGGTTTCGAAAAACATGCCTAAAAAAAAATAAAAACAAAAGAAGAACTCCTCATTTTAGGATCTCCAATCGGCGAACTTTGCCGAAAAGAATTGCTCGACGAAAAAATTAAGGAGCTTGAAAAAATCTCGGATGCCATTGACGAACTAGACGCCCATTATGGTTTTTACCTCCTGAAAAATTGCCAAAACTCCCATATTTTTAGCGTACGAGCCCTTGTTTTTTGCAAAATGATCTTTTGGAACGCTACGACAAATTACTAAGAAACTCCTTATGCAAGGTCACTAACGTGAAAATGGAAAAAATAACGTAAATTATAAAAGGGGCCCTTCCGTTCAGGTACGGTCGTGCACAAGCTGGATAGGGCCCATACCAGCATTATATAAAGGGAAGTACTAACTTCTTTATTAAAGAATAAAACGTATTTACAGATATACAATGAAACAAACGGGTATATAAAACTAATAAAAATTATGAGGCGATATCGGCAGCTGCTGAGTTCAACAGAAAATCTTCCGCTAATGATGATTCCTGGCATACTGAACTACTGTTGAATGGAGTACGGGTACCTCGAATACATATTATAACAGATTTTAATGTACAGAATGATAATCGAGTTCTCAGATAGTTGATACAGGTTGAATAAGAGTTGCCATCTTCGTTCCGGGAAAGTTTAACAGCTAATTGTTTGAGAAAAATGCTGCATTCTATTCCCATTCCCCCGTTAGTGCCGAAGACCAGCGGCGTGAAGGAACTGTTCTCCACCTCGACAATTCTTTCCAGATACTTTCTTTTTTTCTCGTTTTCTTGTGATTTGAAGATTTCAGTTGTAGCCTTGGTGCCATGTGAGGGAGCGTTAACATGTGTAACCCGAACGTCAAAAAACGTAGTCTGTCCAGTCTCCCAAAAGTCTCTAGCTTTGATGTCTAGCCTCGCGTCATCTTCAGTTGATGTGGTTTGTAATCTGAATACTTCGTTATCAATTTTTGTCAGTTGTGGTTCGAATTCCACATTAATGCATACCCTTGTTAGCGACCCTGCAAGAAGGTTCCGAAGTTTGTCATGCCTCGCGGATATGAAACCACCTTTTTTACAGCACAGGGCATGGTCAACGGAAAAAGGTTTTCCGCAAGGGCAATTGCGGGGGATATTTTGTAGGGGAATATTGTATCGTAATCTCAGCGAGTCCCGAAATTCGGTTTTTGAGAGGTTCATTCCTTGGCTTTTTAGAGGTAGGGCGGTTAGCCAGGTACTAGCTCCCTTGTCTGTGTTTTGTTTCCACTTCCTTTTTTCTTCGGTGGTAAATGATTGTGAAACTGCTTCTTCTAATTCTTTCTCCCTTTCGCGTTTCCGAGTTGCTATTTGTTTTCTTCCGCCGCTATACTCGAGAGTGGTATCCGAAAGCTGGTCAATGATGGCTTGCTTATGGGGTTTTGAGAAGATTTTTGAGTTTTCATTTTGAAATCTTGCTTCTTCTTTTAGCGCTCCGAAACCAAGACCGCCTTTGCTTACTGGTAACCCAATAATTGGTCTTTTCTTGTTCTCCAGTGGGGACTCAGACCCGAAGAGCGCTGGAATAAGTTTGTTCTCCAGAACACATTCTATTGGTTCGAGCATATCAGCTATTTCAGGTATAGTCCGAAAGTAGTATGTAAACTTTGATTTAAATCCTTTGCTAAACGCAGAGAATGCTGCATGTGGTTGTGAAACGGCGAACCCACTCAACACGTTCAATTCCTTAGCCCATATTTCAATTTTATCTTTGCAGTAAGCAGTCTTGAAATCTTGAGTCCCAAGTGCTGCACCCAAATGCCTTTTGCCGGCCGTAGTGACATTTTTTGTTCCATTAAACATCACTTTTGCCTTTTCACTCAGACTCTCAGATTTCACTACCAGCCAGCATTTCAGTTTGTTAACAAAATAATCGTCTTTGTTTCCTTCTTTAATTAGTTTCTCGTACCACTTCCATAAGTTCGCAATGCTTCCGCATCCGGTGGCGTCATCTGCCAGCCATGCTTGCTTCACCTCAGTTTGTTCGGCAAGTACATTGATTAGTCTTCTCGTGTTGATAGAGAACCAAGGCATCGCGAGTGGATCTCCTTGCGTGGTTCCTTCACTTGATTTTAATTCCCCACCTCCTATCACAAATAAGCGCGATGGCTGCCTGTATGTGTTTATTAAATACGTGGCAATCGTTGGGCACAGTACTTGTATGTTGTTTAGAGCCACTGCTCTGTTCATGGAGTTGAAGGCATTTGAGGCGTCGATCATTATCACAGCTTCCGAGTTCTCTTCCTCGTAGAGTTCTTTCATAGCATGAATAGCAGCTTCTGCACCAGCTTCGAATCCGGCACATGTTTGCAGGTTTCCTGCGGCTTCCTTGATCGGGTCTTTGAATGCGTGGACAATACATTTTCCTAGAAGTCTACGGAGAACTTCCCCAACCCCGATTGGTCGCACTCCAGGGTTCTTATCAAGGGCTAAAAGACGACAAGACGTCAAAGGCGCAAGTAATCCGGGGCAGTTGTGCATGGTGCACAATCTGAAGCACATCAAAGAGATTTCTTCTCTCAGCATTTTTCCGTCTTGGGCATAATTTTTTGAACAAAGCATTCTCTTAAATACTTCAGCATCTAATCCCGATGGACCAGCGGATCCATTCAGTCTTCCTGCAGTTTTTGCTACCACATCTTCTGTGATGGACTTATATGCTACTTCGGGAATGGTTTCCTTTGGCCCAAAAAGAAGTTCTGTTCTGTCGGGAACTGCCATGGTTGGGTGCAACCGCTCGTGAAAATGGATGATAACCAATTTTTACAAGCAGTTCTCCCGGCAGCCAAAGGTGGCTTGGGCGATTCTTCCGCTCGTCTACTCGCTTTACCCGCTTTCTTAGCCTCAGCAGTAGGCGCAAAAGATGCCTTGAGCGAAATCTTGGTTTGAAGCATGTGGATGGAACCTATGATGATGCGCTTAAACGTTGGTTTGAACTTGGAAAAATTGAAATCGGTCCGGAAAATGAAATCCAAAAACATTGAACGTAGCCAATTTTTGACAGCCAAATTGCAGACTTGATTTTACGACTCGAACCAACGGACGTAAACCGACTCAACGCGTTCCAAGATAGTCTGGCTTCCAATGGTTGAACGTCATCCCTTGCAAAAATTTAAGGTTAAAATTGTCAAACCAACAACTCAGAAATGCAATAGGACCTCGATTAGGCTCAAAAATATGCGAACGGCATAAATGCTTGTGCGGAAAAGACGTTACCGAGGATGGTTGGCATGGTCTTTCTTGCCTCAAAAGTGCAGGGAGATTCTCTAGGCATTCAAACCTGAATGTCCTTTTAAGCAAACTTTATCTTCTACTCACATTCCGTCTGTTTCAGAACCACGACACCTCTACAGGACCAATAAGAAGCGACCAGACGGTTTGACGCTCGTTCCATGGGCTGTTGGTAAGCAGCTCTTGTGGGATGTACCGGTAGCAGACTCCTTAGCTCCTTGTAGGGTTAATGCCGGATCTGTTTGTAACCCTGGTACGGCTGCCGCTGAAGCGAAAGAGCAAAAAAATGACAAGTATGAAGATCTTGTAGATGATGGAGATCTTTTTCAACCGTTAGCTTTTGAAATTCAGGGCGCGGCCGTCCCCAGCACAGAAACTTTTTTGAGCTAGCTTTGTAAGAATCTAAGCATATGCACTGAGGATCTAAGAGTAGGCAGCTTTGTCAAACAGAGAATCTCAGTGAAAATTGTGCGTTCATCGCTGGGTCTCAGTGTCCCCAGACCACAAGGTCACTCCCCAAAACAGGACTGGCATATTACTACTATTAGGTTTTTATTTTGTATCATTTTCGAATATTACTTCACTTGATTTTAATTCCCCACCTCCTATCATAAATAAGCGCGATGGCTGCCTGTATGTATTTATTAAATACGTGGCAATCGTTGGGCACAGTACTTGTATGTTGTTTAGAGCCACTGCTCTGTTCATGGAGTTGAAGGCATTTGAGGCGTCGATCATTATCACAGCTTCCGAGTTCTCTTCCTCGTAGAGTTCTTTCATAGCATGAATAGCAGCTTCTGCACCAGCTTCGAATCCGGCACATGTTTGCAGGTTTCCTGCGGCTTTCTTGATCGGGTCTTTGAATGCGTGGACAATACATTTCCCTAGAAGTCTACGGAGAACTTCCCCAACCCCGATTGGTCGCACTCCAGGGTTCTTATCAAGGGCTAAAAGACGACAAGACGTCAAAGGCGCAAGTAATCCGGGGCAGTTGTGCATGGTGCACAATCTGAAGCACATCAAAGAGATTTCTTCTCTCAGCATTTTTCCGTCTTGGGCATAATTTTTTGAACAAAGCATTCTCTTAAATACTTCAGCATCTAATCCCGATGGACCAGCGGATCCATTCAGTCTTCCTGCAGTTTTTGCTACCACATCTTCTGTGATGGACTTATATGCTACTTCGGGAATGGTTTCCTTTGGCCCAAAAAGAAGTGCTGTTCTGTCGGGAACTGCCATGGTTGGGTGCAACCGCTCGTGAAAATGGATGATAACCAATTTTTACAAGCAGTTCTCCCGGCAGCCAAAGGCGGCTTGGGCGTTTCTTCCGCTCGTCTACTCGCTTTACCCGCTTTCTTAGCCTCAGCAGTAGGCGCAAAAGATGCCTTGAGCGAAATCTTGGTTTGAAGCATGTGGATGGAACCTATGATGATGCGCTTAAACGTTGGTTTGAACTTGGAAAAATTGAAATCGGTCCGGAAAATGAAATCCAAAAACATTGAACGTAGCCAATTTTTGACAGCCAAATTGCAGACTTGATTTTACGACTCGAACCAACGGACGTAAACCGACTCAACGCGTTCCAAGATAGTCTGGCTTCCATTGGTTGAACGTCATCCCTTGCAAAAATTTAAGGTTAAAATTGTCAAACCAACAACTCAGAAATGCAATAGGACCTCGATTAGGCTCAAAAATATGCGAACGGCATAAATGCTTGTGCGGAAAAGACGTTACCGAGGATGGTTGGCATGGTCTTTCTTGCCTCAAAAAGGCAGGAAGATTCTCTAGGCATTCAAACCTGAATGTCCTTTTAAGCAAACTTTATCTTCTACTCACATTCCGTCTGTTTCAGAACCACGACACCTCTACAGGACCAATCAGAAGCGACCAGACGGTTTGACGCTCGTTCCATGGGCTGTTGGTAAGCAGCTCTTGCGGGATATAACGGTAGTAGACTCCTTAGCTCCTTGTAGGATTAATGCCGGATCTGTTTGTAACCCTGGTACGGCTGCCGCTGAAGCGAAAGAGCGATAAAATGACAAGTATGAAGATCTTGTAGATGATGGAGATCTTTTTCAACCGCTAGCTTTTGAAATTCAGGTCGCGGCCGTCACCAGCACAGAAATTTTCTTTGAGCTAGCTTTGTAAGAATCTAACTATATGCACTGAAGATCCCAGAGTAGGCAGCTTTGTAAAACAGAGAATCTCCCAGGCAATACAGATTGCGAACGCCGCCTCCGTACTCGTAACAATGAATAACAAAATAACTTTCGACGAAGTTTTTTATTTGTAACACTTGTATATTTTATTTTATCGTGTCGAGCTGCGTGTTCTTATTGAAGAAACGTAACCCCTATCGAAATTAATTGAAAAGGTCTTAAACACTTGTCATCTTCTTTTATCATTATCACTTCCATATCTAGAAAATTTCAAGTATTTTGACTGGAATACGTGATGAAGGGACTCCTGAATGTAACATCGGTTACTATGATACTTTTGACCTTCTGATTACCTGTATTTCAGGAAAAAGGTACCTTTCATCTGCTCAGATACCGAAAGCGTACCGTTGGTTGAAAATATGAAAGTTTTGGGAACTATTATAGACAGCAGGTTAACTTTTCTACCACATGTATCCAAGACAACCAGTAGAGCTTTCTCAAGCCTGTTCCTGCTTCTTAAACTAAAGCGATTGGGATATCGTGCAGATGACCTTTCTTTGCTATATCAGTCACTTGTTCTATCAGTCTTAACATACGGCTTGAAAGTATGGGGCGGCGCTGTGAAAACGGTTCTTAGAAAAGTGGACGCTGTTCAAAAACGTGCTGTTCGTATGGGTATTATAAATGAATTTGTTCTTATCGAAGAACACACTAAAGTCAAAGACGCAAGACTTCTGTATAATATCACTAAAATTGGTTCGAAGCATCAACTATTTGACGTATTGCCGCATAGGCGCGATTACTTTCCGAAAGGTTAAGAAAACGGCTACTGTTTGCCCAAGTGGCAGTCAAAAAGGTGTATGGAGGAAATTTTAGAAACAGACCCAAGGCTAAAGCCAGATGGACCAAGGCACTGGTGAACTCGCTTGACTTCATCATTTCATCACAGTTTCATCACAGTTTCTTATTTTTAGTATATCTGATGTTATTTTGAGATGTTAATTTAAAACTTTTCTTCTTTTTTTTCGTCTACTAGGGGCTAGAAAATCTATTACAGTTACAGCCGACAACAGTCAATTACCAAGCGCCAATCCAAAAGACGTCAAATTGTCTGGTCTCTTTTGATCGGTCCTGTAGATGTGTCGTGGCTCTAAAACGGAAGGAATGGGAGATAAAATTTGCTTTAAGAGTGCATTCAGCTTTGAATGCCTAAAGAGTTTATCTGCATTTTTGATGCAAGAAAGGCCACACCAACCTTCTTCGGCAAAGTCTTTTCTGCACAAGCACTTATGCAGTTTGCAAACTTCAGAGCCGAATTGGAGTACTACTTCAATTCTGAGTTGACGATTCTATAGTTTTTTCCTTAGATTTACTTTTGCATGGGTTGACATTCAATGTTTGGTAGCCAAATCTATCTTGAAACAGTGCGTTGATTCTTTTCACATCCGTCGTTTCGAGTCTTAAAATCAGGCCTGTAACTTCGCTGTCAGAAATCGGCTCTGATGAAATTTTTTTCGGACTTCCTTTTTGAAAACTGTGCAACTTTGCCATCTTTAAGCGCAAGATAATGTGTAACACTAACACGTCCAAAAGAAAAACTTCGCAGGGTCTTATTTTAGCTCCAACTGTAGAGGCTAAGAAAGCAGGTAGAAAAGTAAAAAAAAAAACACCCAAGCCAACTTCGACTGCCGAGATATAAAACGAGCGCCCGGAAATACATACCGAAGGAAAAAAGCTAGAAACTAAAACGATTGGCTAGTGTCTAAATAGAGCCTTGCGTGCTTTCAAACCTCCCTACTTTGATCAATTCCAGGTGGTTTTGGTAGCTTCGGGTCGACAAAATTGTTACTGCTTGGGGTATTCGGCCAAGCCGCAAATTACCTGAGTTGCTAGTGAAAATTGTGCGTTCATCGCTGGGTCTCAGTTTCCCCAGACCACAAGGTCACTCCTCAAAAAAGGACTGGCATATTACTACTATTAGGTTTTTATTTTGCTATCATTTTCGAATAGTAAAGAAATTTAGCCATCGGGGATGGATCGACCCTTTCACTCAAAGCTAGCTTGTCATTATTTAAAAACGAAATTAGGTGTTAGCAATTTCAATCAGACCTTCCTAGTAAGCTAAAAAAATAAATA